GTTCTAATCCCAAGTATATATCCAGTAGGAATATGCACATATGCATCAAAAGGCATGTACAAGAATTTTTGTAGTAACATTATTCATAATAGCCCCAAACTGGAAGCAATCCAAATTCCAACAGTAGAATAGATAATTGAATGGGGTATATTTGTGCAATGGTACATATACTATACAGCAATAATAAACAACAGCTGCATGCAAAAAAGAAAAACAAAAAAGAAATAAAAAGCTCTGCACAGCCAAGGAAACAATCAACAGAGCCAACAGACAACCTACAGAATGGGAGAAAATATTTGCATGCTATACATCCAATAAAGGGCTAATAAGCAGAATCTACGAAGAACTCAAGCAAATCAGCAAGAAAAAAATCAAACAATCCCATTAAAAAGGGGGCAAAAGACATGAACAGGAGCTTTTCAGAAGAAGATAGACTAATGGCCAATAAACATATGAAAAAATACTCAATGTCACTAATCTTCAGAAAAATGCAAATCAAAACCACAATGAGATATCACTTAACCCCAGTGAGAACAGCTTTTATCAAAAAGTCCCAAAACAATAGATGCTGGGGTGGATGTGGAAAGGAACACTTATACCCTGCTGGTGGGACTGCAAACTAGTGCAACCTCTATGGAAAATCATATGGAGATTCCTCAAAGAACTAAAAGTAGAGCTACCATTTGATCCAGCAATCCCACTTCTGGGTATTTACCCTAATGAAAAAACATCATTTTATCAAAAAGACATCTGCACTAGAATGTTTACTGCAGCACAATTCACAATCACAAAGATGTGAAATCAACCCAAGTGCCCATCAATTCATGAGTGAATCAATAAAATGTGGTATATGAGTAGTACCATGGAGTACTACTTGGCCATAAAATATGAATTATACCTTTTGCAACAATCTGGATGGAACTGGAGACCATTCTCCTAAGTGAAATATCACAAGAATGGAAAAGCAAACGCCACACGTACTATTAAATCAGAACTAACTGATCAGCACTCATGTGCACAGATGGAAGTAAAACTCAATGGAAATCATGCAAGTGGAAGGGGGGAAGAGAGGATGGGTGAAATCATACCTAAGGGGTATAATATACACTATCTGGGTGATGGGTGCACTTGTAAATTTGACTCAAGCAGTACAAAAGGAATCCATGGAAGCAAAACATTTGTACCCCTGTAATGTTCTGAAATTAAAAAAAGAAAAAGAAAATAAAAGGATGAAAAAACC